TTGATGTTTCACTCATCTCATTAGATTTTTTTACCACTTATTCTAGCTCACTTTCCTCAACTTTTACCTCATATGCACTCTCAAGTATTATCCTACACTTCTCACTAACAACTTCATCTTCCCACTTTTCAGCTTGAATGACAACTTCCTCAATTTCGGCCCTTTCCACTGGCTTTTTCTTTTGTTTTTCTTGAAGAAGATGTTGGTAAATATCCCACCATGACTCCTCCATAGATGACTCAAATGCAACCTTAGACTTTGAGGAAATTGATATAATAGATTCCTTATCCCTTTTGAGTGGTCTTTCCTCCTTCGGTTCACCATATGTTGATCTATTGTGAGAACTTTTAAGCTCCACAGTTCGGTTATGGTCGTGAGACCTCTCAAACTAACAAGCTGATTTGGTGGAGGATGAGCACTTTTTAGATGTTTGACGTAAACTCCGTTGCCCCTCCTCATACTCATCACAAGTACGCTTATATCGTTCATATGCACACAAAGCATTGTAACGATCCATCTCCTCCTTGAGGGTATGAAATTCATGGTTTGACACTTTAGCATTGCTAAATTGAATGGAACCCCTCTTCTTGAAAGATTCGTTCTCAATTCTATCAAACCTTTTATACATGAGTTGGACTGATTTGTTTAACTTCCTTTCAAAGTCCCCCAATATGGATTCCAACATAAGTGTAGGATTGAAGTGGTGTGAACTTCCTTTGGTGGACATCCTTAACCTGCAAAAAGGTTAGCAAAAACAAAGGAAAGTTTCCTCACAACACACCCTCACATGTATGCACCTGCACTCGTGTATCGCTCAAGTGTTTAATTCACTCTAATAGGCTCACCAAGCAATTCTCTTGGTCATTGATCTCCTTACTTGAAGAAATCAGAATTTATCAAGTAGTTCAATGACTTATCCAACAACACACAAGGAAGTGACATAGGTGAAATTGGTTCACTTGAGTTGAGATTGGATCACACAAAAGGAATGATTTTAAGCAACTCCAAGGGCTGAAACAAGGCTGAAAATTTACAAATTTAAAGGAAGAACGAACCTAATGTGACTCCTAGCCAAGTAGTTCAAGATCTGACCAGATTTTGGGTGCTAATTTGGTGCGGTTTTGGACAAGGTTTAACACACAGAGAAACGTGACTTATTGCTGGAAAACGACACTACAAGACCTGATTTGATTTGAACAAGAACAACACAAAATTTGGAAGAATCAAATTAGGAAACTATCCTAAACTGATTTGGACTTTTTGAACTATAACTAGACTCAATTAAAACTTGAAATAATGACTCAAAACACAACAAGTTGTGGCTGGACAGATTAAGAAACGAAATCTGAAGCAACAAATGACTTGGCATAATTATGGAAGGCTAGAATGACACTCTATCCGAAGTGTGTTTTGCGGGAATTTGGAAGCTTTGGTTCGTTGGCTCTTGGACTGATTTTTGGAAAATAAGATACTTATTTCAAGGAGCTTTCCTAAGGGAATTCAACGGCTAATGCAAACCAAATTGGACGAGGAATATCTGACCAGATTTGGTAACAAATCCAAGTCAACTTTGGTTTCCTAATCAAATTGTCTTCTTGTTTCCAAGACTCAAGCTATGATCTGTTTGTCTTTCTTTCTTTCTTCTTTTTTTTTTTTCCTTTTTTTGCACCACGGATCAGATTCTTTTCTTTTCCTTTTTTTTTTTTTTTAATTCGGCTCACCTGCCCAAGAAACAAGATCAAGAACAGCTGCAATTCACATGTCCAAGAATATGAACTAGGATTTCCAAGTACTTCAAGAATTGGAGACTTTGATTCAAGCTTTTTTTTTCAAGAAACCCTTTTATGTGATTCAAGAACCCTAAGATTTCCAAGAAAGTACTCAAGAAAGTTCAAGAAATTCAAGATTTTTTGGTCTAGAAAATCAAGAACTACTAGTACTTTCAAGAATTAAGAACAACCAGCCACGGTTTCAATTCAAATCACAAGGAACAACCCACGAGTTAATTAACAAGGCAAAGAAACAGCCACGGATTGTGTATTAAACGATGAGCAGAATTTGTTTTGGCACAAAACCTCAAGACACAGGGAAACACAACACAAAATGAGACAAAATACGACTCAAACAAGGGAACTGCAATCGGACAACAAGATACACATGTGACCAGCAAAGGAGCAAACGTAGACGACAAAGAACAAGTACAAACACAAACGAAACTCAGACAGATTTGATAAATCAAGACGAGATGCAATGTGGACAAACACAACACAAGACACAATTTGGAGACTTACAATTTTGTACAGCAATGGAAAATAACAAAAACCCTAACGACATCAACCAACAAGATACAGGCAGCAAGGTAATCACAAGAGATTCAAACCCTAGACGATGAACAGATTATTTTTTTTTTAATAATAGGGTAGGATTTGGTAGGAGAAGAAAGAGGAAAACAAAAAAAAGGATATTAACCTAGATCAAGAGTCAAAACTCTGATATCAACTGATGTAAAATCAACCCAGTAAGAACCGGTCTTGAAGGACTAAGTTGATTAGGTAGTAAAAGATCTATCTTGATCAGGTTATGAATAAATTGGATGGAATTCTAGATAATCAAGGACCGCTCGAGATTGAATAGAAGAGTAGAATGACGCTACAATTCAACGTGATCTTGGATTGATAATTCAATTGAAAACTCAAGAATCCTCTCAAGTATTTAAGAAAAGACCTCTTAGACAAGAGACTTGCAAAACACAAAGTGTTTGCTGGAAATTTTCTTTCATAATTCAACTCTTAAAAAAAAATGTTGGACTTTAATGCTCTTTTATAACCTTTACAAAGAATCAAAAGAAATCTAACTAAATTAAGAAACTTTTTAATTAAACCTAACTCAACCCTAACTAGGAAACTAACTCGACTTAAGGCTTAACTATGGTCAACATGACCTGGCCTTTTAGTTAATGAAACTAATGATTCATTTAACTCTTAAGCGTGAATCAACTACAACAATTGGCTGGAAAATATCATAAACACATGATACTAAGGATTTAATAACTAAGTAAACACACTAATTCTCAAGAAAGGGACGGATGGAATGTTGGACTTCACTTACTCAACCATCTTCATGACTTGAACATAAACCAAGGACCCCATGTTCGTATCAAAATCAGAAGAGGCAGTAGTAGCGTCTTGAAGGTGTAGAACAAGAAGACACCCAAGAGACTAGAGTGAATTGAGGTGAGAGGTGGGAAAAAGGAAGGAAGAAAGGAGGAAGTAGCAGTCTGCTTTGCTGCCGCTGCCATTCCCCCACTTTTCTTGATAAGAAAAGAGTGAGAGAAGTCGCAAGATATCAAGAAGGGAGGGATGAAGGAACTGCATGTTGCTTCCAGATTGAAATCACGTATTTATGCGTAAAGATTCAGGCAACGAAACAGAAACAAGAGGAGCAAATGGAGCTGGGGATAGCTTCAAACCGTGAGGAGAGTTTTCCACTTAAGGTGAGGAGTTTTTCACTGATTTGTTAGGTAGCTGTATATTTTTCTTTAGAAGTTTTCATATATGAGTTCTTGATGAAATATCTTGGGAATTTTAAGTGAAATATCAATTGAAAAACTTTGAACTCGGAACTGTAGTTGCAGAAGTTGCAGTCAGCTTTGAGCTATCTAGGTTAATAGACTGTGAGATTGCGTAGACACGTCGGAATCATTCACTGTTGGTCTTGAATGAAACTAGAATCATAGAGATTTTTTTCAGTATAAGAACTTCTCACTAGTTCTGTGTTGAAGAAATTGGTGCAGCTCTGAATTTAGCCAAAAATCAGCTCTGTTTGTAGTTGAACAGATCCTTGAGATGATGCTATGATCGCATTTTTTTTAATAGGTTCTGAGTAAAATTTTGGGTTGGATCCTTCAGGAGATGTTTAGTGATATGCTTCTAGTTGCCATCTGTGTAAATAACATAGCTATATCAGTTCTAATGCTTAAGGTATAGTGGTTTCAACACCAGACCTTGACCAGCCTGATGTGGTTTTGACCGAAAGCTGCCCCAATTTTAGGTGTAATTTGGAGTGACTTATGGATTTAATTGCATGATTATATCATGAAAGTTCTAGTACTCTGAGTCTAGCTTCTGGATCTTTAAAAATCACGATCATACTAGTTTTATATCTTAAGATATGGTGGACTTAGTAGCACAATCGTAAGGCCATAACTGCAAGACACGGCATGGTTGGCGAAAAATTATTGTAACTTGATCTAGGAAGCTTGAAATTCAGTGCTGTCAATTGTATTTGAAACTAGACTCAAAGATTTTTCCAAATGTATAAAAATCTACCTCTGCTTTTTTTGTTTATTGTGAGAACCCTCACTTTTAAAATACAATTTCCCCAAACTACATGCCTTGCAACAAGATTTAAACCACCTCTTATATGCCCAGCATTATATTTTACAATGTGTTACAACAAATCCCTTGTATTGACCCTCACTTTAAAACACAATTCTCTTATTTACATGCCTTATTATAAGATTTAAACCATTTATTACATACCCTTACAATACATTTTCTATATACTATAATAATTTTCATGCATAACATTCCATTTTATTTTACTTGGAGTAAAATATTTTCTTGAGTTAGTTTAAGTTAATACACTACTTGCATTTTTTCAAGTGTCTTTACATTAGTGGTAGAGATCTTACATGTAGGATTATAGGTGTTAAAGAATGATTGGTACACTTGGAAATGTTAGTTAGAGGTGTTAAAGAATGATTGGTGCACTTGGAAAGGTTAGTTAGAGGTGTAAAAAAATGATTGGTGCATTTGGAAAGGTTAGTTAGAAGTGTTAAAGAATGATTGGTGCATTTGGAAAGGTTAAGACACCATTAGTCAAAGATTAAGAAAGAATGGGACAAGTAAGTGGACATGTGGCAAAACCTTAGCCAAGTATCTTGTTGGAACCAAGATTAGAAGATTATTTAAACTAGCCAAAGCCTTTTTTTTTTCTTTAGTGTTGGCCGAATTTCAGCTCAAGGAAGAGAGAGAGAGAGAGCTCCCAAATCAGGTTTTCTTACCTAAACAAATCAAAGACCAAAATTCAAGAGAGGAATTTAGGGTTTGCAAGGAAGCTTTCTTTGTTTTAGTGTTGAATCCCAACCTTGGAGCCTCTACTTGGTGGATTTCTTGGTGATTTGAACACCTTGTAAGTAAGGTAAGTACTCTTTAATTTGGGGTTTTTATGTGTTAGATCACCTACTATAAGCTCTAAGCATGAATTGCAAGTTGTTGTGGTTGGAATTTGAAGTTAACCCCTTGAATTTAATAAGTAGTGGATGAATTGTTAGTATGCACACCAAGTGTTTGATGAAATGTTCAACCCTTATTCATGTATGTTTATGAGGTATTGATATGCTTTAAAACCCTATATGGTCAGATGTAATACTTGAGATATGCAAAAAGTGAAAATAATGAGAAGAGTGAAAGTTGGGAAAGAATTAAGTGTGCTGACCGAAATTTGTCCAGCTTGCTTTCCGAATTTTGCCCTGATGTTTCATGCATATTTTGGCTACAAATGTGAGTGATATATGTTGGTTTATGTGTGTAGAGGTTGTCTACAAAAAATTAGCCAATTTGGTTGAGTAAATTTTGAGTTGCAAGCAAAGGGACAAAACTGGACTAGGTCCAGAAACTTTCTGTCCAGCAATCTTGTAAAGGCCATAACGTTTTACTCACTAATCGTAATTGAGTGTCGTTTGTGGCATTTGAAAGTAGACTCTTAGAGCTTTAAAACGGTACCAAGCTCATTTTCTGGTTCGTCTTGAGCGATCCGTGGCAAGTCATGGAAGTCGGCTGCCTGGGCGGTGCTGTTCATCCGTGGCAGTCCAGAAATTTCATTTGGTTTCTTAATTTGGAGCCACTTATGTTGGGATTTTGGAAATGGTTTCTTCTAGATAAATTTAGCCTTATGAACCTAGTTTCCAACGCAACTGACAAAACCTAATTTTGACTCTCCTACAATGAGTCGTGACCGTTTTCCCGAGACTGGCCGGCCGACACTGTTCAAACCGAAAATGAAACCTTTGAATTTAAATTAAACCTTTCCTTACCAAACAATCATATGAACACTAAACATGTATTTTCATGAACTTTTACTATACTTTGGACCTCATTTACATGAAGGATTAAGTAGATTACCTTAGTTACTTAGCTTCTTCATGAACCTATAATTTAGTGAGAAATGAATCTTATTGTTATCGTTTTCATTCGTTGCCCTAGGATCGGGAAACAGAGGTGACTGTAACTGAATCATTTGAAGTTGATAATGACTTTTGTTTGACAGGTGAGTGTTCCACTACCTGCTACTTGTTATGTGAAATATTTGTGTACTTGAAAGTATTGAATTGTTATTGTTTGAGCCAAACACTGTTTTAATTAAAATTTGAGGCGAGTGTGTACTTTATCGCACTCGACCTTCCTGGTGTTATTTTTCTTTTCACGGAGGCTCTACTTACTGAATGAATTAACATGAAATGAGATATTGCTATACATGAAAGTGCTTAAGTTGCTTGGATGATATTCCATCAACTACTGTTACTATTTGGGTACCCAACCTCATAGGTGAGTCGGTTGTATCGAGCCAACAAGGGCTTGGTCGAGAAGGCCGATAAACCTTGAGGACTGTTTATTGTTCACTGTAAATTGAATCTTGCTTGGAGGTTCCTAGTGAAGCATAGCCGTTGTGCTTGCTTGTTGTGTTGTCCAGCACCACCAGTGATAAAATCCTCGGCTTGATATTGTTTCATTGGAATCCTTGAGCATTGGAACTCGGATTCCTGGTATACTCGAGTATTACCAAACTACTGTTTATGGAGTGCGGCTGTTTATGGAGTGCGGGCCCGGTGAGGGGCAGATTGGTGGACGGAGACTGGTGAAAGTGGTGTTCTACGGACCCTTTTATACTGTGCATACAAATGTTGACGGAGTGTCAACAGGAGGCAATTATGATCAAGCTGAAGTGGATCTTTGGCTTTTGAAAGCCACCCGTATCCTTGAATTGAACTGTGATTAAACTGTTATCCTACTGTGTGATATTTATTTGATTATTTCTGTGCTCTTATTTGGCTATGTGCTTACTTGTTTTACTTGGAACCTCACTGAGCTTTAGCTCACCCCATTCCCTTCGTTTTCCTTAACAGAGCGGGAAGGCTTTTGATCAAAGGCATACTTAGCTTTATTTTGCCGTTTTGCGTTTTGAGGTTGTGACTTCCTTTTAAGCAGACTTGTAAGGTTAATTTCTTAAGTATGGTTTTATTATGTAAATTAGAGTAAAGTGTGGTAAGTTGACATGATGATATATGTGCTAAGCTAAAATGTTGGATTAGGGATTATGCTTGAATCAGGGTTTCAATTTCCGTGAGTGGATGATATTACGTTGCTTCATTAATGATAGTAGTTCTTTGAACGACTGAGTCCTGGCGAGAGTTGGGCAGACAGTCCGCTGATACTTAGGGTTCGCCCTAGGGAGAGGTGGGGCTGTCACAGTTGGTATCAGAGCCTAGGCTTCAGATCCTTGTAGTGTATCCTAGACTTAAATGTTTAGGATGTCGGACTGTGTGATTGGTTTGAAAGTTGAGTGACGGCTGGGAAGGAAAAAAAAAATTTAGGGCCTAGGTTTGATTTGGCCGGAGTGAATTAGAAATTTTTAATTTGAATCTTTATTTGGGCGGAGTGCATGATTATTTCCCATTAAGAGTATTTAAGTTTCCTCTACACTTCGTGTAGAGTGGACGGATCTAGTGACCTTAGCAATAGACCAGTTAGCGAGCCGTCTTGTAGGGATTTACCGATGATTAAGTATTAAATCAGGCCAGGAGAAGCTAGAGCCTATTAAAGCCCATCTAACCGCTACAGGCGTTGCAAGTGCCATCATACTTATATCTACCCTAATGAAGTAGTGTTGGTCGTGGTGAAGGGGCGGAAGGTTGCCATAAAGGACAACGCTAGGCTTGAATCTGAAGTGAATCAACTGAAGGAAACTATTAAAATGCGAGCCGATCGAATTAAGGAGCACGAGTATGATATGGTTGAAGGCCATGAAAGGATTGATGATCTGTGTGCGTAGTTTGGAGAAACTCAGGAGCGTATGGTTAAGGGGGCAATGAAAGTGAGGAATAGAGTTGAATCGATTCTGAACATTTGCAATGACTTACTTGGAGATGTGTACGATGAGGCTTCCCACATTGGAGGCGAGGCAGGAGCAGAACCTGCCCAGACTGAGGGGTCAGCTAGTCTCGCGGTGGATTAAGCCTCCACATCTAGACTACTATTTTGGGTGATTTTGACTACTATACATAGAACGGATAGGGGATGTAGTGACTTGGTGGTTGTACAGCTTTCTTTTGATTACATGCACTAGGTTTTTGCTTAATATGACTGTACGACTATATCTGTACTTTTGAGGCTCGTACTTACTACTTTTGGTCTTGTTATCTTGTAAATGACTACTATGAGCCTTTGAATGTATAATACTTGATTGTTGACTGTTGACTGTTGATTTTTGACTTTGGACTATTGATTTTGATAATTGACTTTGACTTTTGACCTTTGACTTGACTTTTGATTTTTGGCTATGACTTTATTTTGGCATCGCATTCAAATTACTTTGCATTTTACTCGCCTATTGTGACTCTGATTTCCCTTTTTTTTAGTTTTTTAGAATGAATAAGTATCTGTTATGTATCGACGCGTACTCACCCATTAGTTATAATACTTAAGGCCCTAGACTAGTGAGTAATAATGGAGACTAGATGACAGTATAGTAGGGGCCATGAGTGTGGATCTAGGTAGATCCAAGAATGAGAGGAGGAATAAAGGTCTGTAGTCAATTAGAACCAAGGACCCGAATGTGGAGAAGAAGTCCAGGTAGCTACAGCTATCAATTGTATGACTGATCTAATGTTTACTGGCCCGTTGGTTGACCATCGAGGTCAAGTATCGGGTAACTAGTAAAGGAACCTTGAAGTAAGTGAAGATAGGGCCTTGAGACGGTTCCAAAGTTCGCTTCCCTTAAATTTCTTAGAGGACCAGATTCCAAAGCTGCCGAGAACTGGTTTGAAAGAATGGAAGATATTTTGCTGCTTCACGTGGTCCCTGCGCGGAGTGAGTTTGGGGTCAAGTGGTGTTTTTGGGCGTAAGCTATGAATCATGACTATTATAAGTATAAACTCTTATCAGTGTACTTGGGAGAAATAGATATGTACGTCGAGTAGGAATCTCTAATATGGGTGATTTACTCTTGGGACCGGCCAGCTCGAATTGTGAATTGTCTTATTGTGGATTCTTGTACTTGAGTACCAAAAAGTGGAGAGCACTGGAATAATGGTCTGTATCTTGATTGCACTTGAGATAAGTTTTAATGGTAAAAGTCAAGGCGTGAAAGATTCTAACACTTGACCTAATTAATGGACTGATTGAGAGAATGGATCTCGGAAGTTATCATGGACTAATCTAGAAATAGTCTGTTAGGGTTTCTATAGACGGTGGCTAAATTATAGTGTACATCGAGAGATTTGCACTGAAGACCTATTTCCTTCTCCTATGACTGTGAAGACTTGATAAGTGTTTATTTTGAATATGAGGTGGTTTGATTGCAATTATATGGATATTTCTACCCCTATTGTGATATTCTTTCCTATACTTCCTTAACAACTATCCACTAATGTCTAAGTATGGACTTGACTTGATTATTATCGTGGTGAGATCGTGAGTTTTGGAATTATGCATGGGGATTTGAGAAAAGAATTGGATTCTATACCTGTATACAAAAGCTTGAGATAGGGTGTGAAACTTTTGAGATACGAAGTACACTTTAGGATTTCATTATGTACATAAGAAATAAGAATACTCCTTATGTTAAACTCCCCGAATAAGAATGAGTGGCATAAAATTTTGAGATATTGCCCTACCTGTATTCTACTTCCTTGTCTATCTCATTTGAGAATAGTTAAGTTTAATTCCTCATGATTAGATTGGAAGTGAATGAGCTCAAAAGTTATATGACTAGAGTTTCCAATTGTAAATAGTTACTTATTCTGCTCCTTTGATTTCCCTGGCAAGTTATCATCGAGTTAAGTGAATCGGTGAGATGACAAATATGACTGATCTGCATAAGAAAATAGAGATTATTTGAATGGAAGTAGAGTTCCAAAAGAGATTAGCTGAGTACTGGGAAGGATGATGGGAACAAGAATACTTGGCGAAAATTGAACCACTGCATCAGAACATAGAATTGAAAAAGAAATAAGAAGGGATTCTAGAAGAGGTGCGGAATGAGTTTGAATTAGTGCATTTGCCTAATCGAATAGCATCTTAAGACATTCCTAGTCAAAGTTAGCCATTAGTGAGATTTTGCTTGAAAGAGTTGTAATCATTGAATTATGCGTAGTGAAATTTTTATGTAGTAAGTTGTATTCTCGTTAGGAACAGTGAACTTGATACATGCTATTTTAATAAGTGTTATAAAAAAATTGGTGGTTGGGCAGTATTGGATCCTTGCCCATGAATCTATCCCTATATTTAGTCTTTAAGTTAAAAAAAAAAAAAATTTCGTTTGTTATTCGAAAGGAAGAAATTATTTAATGGATAGTGTATGGGTTTGAGAGCTAGTAAGAATAGTGGCCAAGTTTTAACTCTTCTTTTACCAAGATTAAAGTTTATGTCACATTTTCACCTCGACTAAATCAAAAGGTTGACCAAATTGTTTTCATTTTCCTCTTGCTCAGCCGAACAAATGGAGAAGAAAAACCAAAGAGAGACCTTCAACTCTGACCTCAAATTTGTACTTGAATTTTGAGTTTCAACCAACTAATTTGCAAACTACTCTATGGAAATGATAACTAAGGTAGATTTCAAGGTGTTGGTGGGGTGATTTTGCAGGAAGAAACTCTAAGTTTTCATCTTTCTTGAGGTTACAGGGTAACTTTGATAATAAACTTTCCTCTACTTTAAATATATGCAAACTGGTGGTTTAGTGTTTCAATTTCGGTTGTTTTATGAAAAAATATCATGGTTTGAAGTTGTGTCATGAAATTTTCAGTTTTATGGTACTTTTCTGTCCACACATGATACTTAAGTGTTGGCCATGGTTTGGTAGTTTTGTTATGTGAAATATCTAGCTTTTATATGCTAGTTTGACTTGCCTAAAGAAACTTCTAGCTTGTGATCGGGAATTTCAGCTTAAGGTTTCATTTTCTAACTTGAATAGGTGACAGTTATATGCTTGATGTAGTGAGTTGTTGGCTTGATATTTATATGCTTGAGTTGAAGCTATTTCATGGGAAGAATAAAGTCTTGAATGGGCTGGAAAAGTTAGTAAAAACAAAGGAAGTGCCGCTGAAAATTTTTTCCGCGGGGAACCTTGGAAAGTTTTACGAGATCCGTTATATCTTGATGTAGAAAAGTTAAAAATTGAGTTTCGTTTATTATGTTTAAAACTAGGTTCAGAATATCAGTATTGTTTTCAATTCCCATGAATATCTACGATTTTTCAAGGTTGACTGAAATTGTATACCTGTTCTGTCTGTTACTGGGTGAAGCAGCAACTTTAGGTTGGAATTTGACTGACTTGTGGATTGGATCTTACAACGGTACCTTCTAGAAAGCTGTAACAATTTGAACCTATATTCCGATGGTATAAAGTTTATAAGTTTTGGACATAAGAATCTCGAGATATGATTTTCAAATGAGATCACGTAATACTGGAAAATTCCTATTTTCCTAGGATTATTCCTACTTACATTTCCAACTTTAAGATTGGAGTTGGTAAACTATTTTGAGGTTGGTTTATGAGTGGATTGAGGCTTAAATAAAAGGAAAATGAGTTCTTCAAATTATTTTAGGTCAAAAGGTCAGACAGTTTACAACTTTGCATTTTGAACGTCTTTTCTACTTTCCCCAAACGTTTGGCTATAAGTGATACTTTTCTGCTCTAAATGACTTTTGCAACATTGATTAGTAAGGATATGAGGATTATTCCTCGATTGGAACAAGCTAGTATTATATATTGATAGGTTATATGAGTATGAAACTTGTAAATTGATACATGTTCTAAATAAAGATTTGGAGCCTCAATTCCTACATAATGCGGCTTTGTATTGCTGGTCTTTTACTAAAGCATGTGCTCACAGGACTCGAGAGAGGTAAAAAGGATATTCACCGAAAATATTTTGAACTACTCAGTAATCAAGCTGAGAATTTC